TGTGTGTGTGTGTGTCTAGGGTTTAAGCAGGTGCCTCCTGTAGGGTCCAAGTCGTACCAATCAACAAAGTAATTGGGGACTTGGGGTAACAGAATTTGTAATACACTTTTGGGCAACTACATGAATGTTGGGTAGTTGGAGGGTGGGTTCGTGCAGAAGTATTTCGGGCGGAATGGCGTATCATGCCAGTACGTGAGTCCTACAAGTTGGCAGGAATTCTGTTACTCTGAAATCCTAAGCTGAAAGATGAACGCCACTGCCATCCACTCTGTCCAAGCTACTCTACCCAGAGGGTGCAAGCACTTAGTAATCACATATTTTCCCAAAGCATATTTTAGCCATTCCTAGTATATAGTCCTAAGCCCCAAACGCTAAAACCGTAACCCTAGTATGTACCAAGTTCTCAAGTACCCAGATATGAAGTATTTGCACCCTTAGTGTCTTGACTATTAAATAGATGGGTGGCGGAGACAAGTTGCTCAACTTTTTTGGTTCAAGGTCTCGCCCAAGACTCTTTTTTATTAGCGTTTCCGGGCACCTCCCACATGCATACTTTCTTTGTTTAGGCTTTGAGAGGTTTAAAACCCTGAATCCTAAGCTGCGTCCGTAAGCCTCGCTGATATGCCGAGTCCTGCTTTGAAACAACACTTCACATGGAATTCAATGTTGATCGTCACAGAGACTATCCCCTAAGGGTCCAATTACCCAGATAATAGAGTTTCAGGGCTCAATTACTATACTATTAATGGTATTTGGACCCTAAAGCCCTATTATATGGGTCCTTGGACCCTTAGGGATCATTGTTGGGTTGACCTGGGCCTGGCAGAAGAACCCTCCCAAGCCCAAAACTCGGTCTTCCGATAAGGGCTACTAGGGGTCATTGGGGCCCTTTGCAGGCTGGGGTGCTTCTTTGAGGGGGCCCTGAACCCTACACTTTAAACTCTTAACACAAACCCTTGAGCTCCAAAAAATGGAGATGGTATAGGGCCGAATCTGTATCCTACTTGCACGCTCAGGGGAAGTTGAAGATTCTTCTAACTGCGCTTATATCCCAATTTCAAGGTAGCTTATCCAGTTTATATGTAGAGGCTTAAGCTCTGCTAAAGGTAGTTATTCAGCCTGGTGAGCCGCCCAGAAAACAATTTCTACAAACATCCTTGGACTACGGTGACACCTTAAATCCCAAACCCTAGACCCTAAACCCCAAACCCTAAACCTTAAGCCCTATAAGCCCTAAACTGAACCAAGGTGCAAGCACTACACCGGCCCCGGAGCCTGGGTCAAATCCATATGAGATGGGTGGATCACTCAGCAACTTGAATGTGCACAGCTACCGAGGTTTGGGGTGTAGGGTTTAGGGTGTAGAGTTTAGGGTCTAGGGTGTGCATGCGAGGTTGCGCGCCCGGGCGTGAAATGCCCCTGGCCACGCGCTTGCGTTGCTTGTAAGCCCACCCCAACCACCCACACTACATTCAACTATGGTTTAACACTTCCTGCGTGCACGCACGCTGCATGACACTGCCGGTAATGCTGCATTCACTGGACGTGCCAGTTTGCAGGTTCAGAAAAGGGGCTTGTATGGATCAAGCTTCGTTTGAGACAGCGTGATGGACTACTGCACTAATGGAGGCTGGAGGTGGTTGGTGTTCAACCGTGATCATGGTTCCGTCGCTGCAAAAGGCCCCAATGCTGGCAACTGGGAGGCTGCACGGCCCGTTG